AAGCAGCACGAGGAGAATTGTGACCGTCAGTCGATGTGCTGATGGTTATTTTTTTAAAACTGTCAGGCAGACGAGAAAGAGACGCGATTCTCCGATATGTCGTTGGATATGCAGTTAAAAGAAAAATCCACCGTAGAACAAACCAGGCAGCTTTAACTGGTGATGCTCTTTGCATTCGTGTAGCTCGTTTTGTTGATCTTTAAGTGGAAAATCTAACCCTGGACGGCCCAGAAGGACCAAGAAAAAACTCCTTCAGTGTCTCACTTCTATTCTGTGTTTCCTCAAAGGTCCAAATGTGGAATCTCATTTTTTATTTTTTTTTGAAAAATGGAGAAAATGTCCCTTTAAACATGAACATGAGCTACGTGATGCCTTGCCAAAAGGCCGCGGCATCCTTCGAGGTTTGTGCTTTTCACCAGGCAGATGAGACACTGAACCACAGGTGTCCAAGTTTTCCCCCATTTGGATAAAAAAACAACACAGAGGCGACTAACAGCATGCGTCACTTTGATTTTCCAAACAAAAGCAAACGCAGCCAGTTAACAGCTGAACGTGGCCGTACCCCAGGGGCTGTCCAGAGGAGGTCTGGGAACACAGGGCAGCAGAAACAAGACAGTTTGAGGGAAAACTTCTGAAGAAAAAAAAATAAAGAGAGAAAATTGAACTACAGCGAAATAACCACAGGAATGCAAAGAGCATGGCAGGCTGGTCGCTCACGACACGACAGCAGGGAGGATTTCTCCTTTAACAGAAAGATCAGGAGGCTGATATTAAAAAGAAGAAGAAAAGCCAGAGACAAAACAAAGTGGTTTTCACAGAGGCAGTGCCTGCAGTGTCCCAGTGTGCCAGATCAAAATCAGCCAGCAGGGCTGATGTTCTGCAGGCTGTGGACAAAACACACCCACCTGCTTCTAAAAGAGACACGGCAGACTCCAGCTTCATAATTATACATATAATCCGCCCACACAAAGTGTGGCTACCTGATGAGGAGGGAGAGAGTGTGTGTTGCTGTCGGTGCGTCACGTCTCTACTGCTGTGTGTGTGTGTGTGTGTGTGTGTGTGTGTGTGTGTGTGCGTTCTGCTCTTCCACGGCTGTATGTGCTAGAGAGAGAATACAGCATTGTATTCATGGAAACCTGGCTTCTGGCTTTTAAAGAAATTTGTCTTTTTCTTGTTTGTACGAAAACAAAGAAACGTAGGATGCCATCAGAAGAACAACAGTACGAACATCCACAACGAGAAACAACAATTATTCAAAATCTGCTTCTGTTGGTTTTACATTTAAAAATCTGGAAACGAGCTGTACTAAAAATCCTGATTCTTCTTGTGTGTGTGTGTGTGTGTTTGTGTTTCTAATATACAATCAGCTGCTTTGAAGTGGTCGGACCTGAGGTATAAATGACAACCAGATATATGCAGCGTGACAGAATAAGAAACAGAAGAAGCCTCTCTGCAGAGAGGAGCATGGCAATCATATACATTATGGTTCTTTCTTTCCTGGTAGCCCGCCGCATCACACGCCATCCCCCCAAACGAGATGGTGCGTCATGAGGCGTCCACTAAGTGAGGTTACAGTAGTTGCTGTTCGACATTTTTTTTTCTTTTCATCACGATTTTGACAGTCTTTCACTCAGAAGAAAAAAAAAAAGAAAAAGAAAAAAGAAAATAAATCAAATAATAACCAACCTGAAAAGCAGAGAAATTGATTGGCTTACCTGAAGATGCAAAAAACAGTAAAATAAATACATACATATTCATATAGCTTTTCTCATTTTCATCATATTAAGGTACATTTTCCTGTGCGTGCTGTGGTTTTTTTGGGGAATGCAGTGTAGATAGAATAGATTTTTCTTTTAAAAGACAGCTGATAAAGGAAGGTTAACTTGTCCACCTGTCCCCCAATCTCCCCTCTGGGTCTCTGATTTCTCTGGGTGTGAGAAATAAAAAAAACAACAACAACAAAAATCCCCCTGTCAAGTTTCAACCTGGAGTTGTGTTACACTTAAAAACAAACAATAAAAAAAGAGAATAAAACCCCTCAGTGAACAAAACTCCCGGTTCTTTCTCAGAGCAGGGTGGGACCGAGCTCAGCGAGCGCCTCCAGGGTGAAACCAGACGACTGAATCCTAAAATGTTTTGACTTTTAGAGGAAGAAATGAGGTTTTCAGTCCTCCCATGCAACCCCCAGCCAGCGCTAAGACGACACACGGGTCGCTGTGAGACCCCCGTGGCTCGCTCTTTGTTTTTTTTTTGTCAATCTGGTGCTCTTCTAACTTCTACTAGGTTCTGTTGCAAAAACAAAAAACCAAAAAAAAAAATACCTGAAAAGTGGTAGGGTGGCAAATATTGGTCAGTCAGACACTTGAAGCGTCTCCCTCCTCCCTTTGCAAGAGGAAGGCAACAAAGAGAAGAAAAACAAAACAGATCATAAAAGAAAAGAAACAGTGGAGGATACTATATTTCCCAGAGTATCAGCTATCCCTTTGCCAAGCTCCCAGGTAAGGGATACATCAAAGTACGAGGCACGGAAAGGAGTCAGAGTACTGAGAATGAGGTATAACACTTGGTCTGTGCTGACCAAGCCGACATGTAGTTTTTATATATAAATATATATAACTATATATATCTATATATATGTATATATATATATATAGTAAAGGTAGTTAAGTCTGCGCCATTTTCCGACTGACAAATATTGCTGCCCTCCCCATTGGCTCGATCCTGAGACATTTACAGTACTGAAGGCTACTGTTGCATGCCCGCGTCAGAAAACGACTGCGTTTCCAATGCAAGCAGCGTAAAGTGAAACTAAAGTCAAAAGAATAAAAAAAAAAAACAACAACAGTCTGTTCAAAACGATGCGACAGTGTCATCTCTGGTTTTTTGCCGATCGCTGTTCCGGTTTGTGTGAGTTTGAGAGATTCGCTTCACTACATTCATGACTTGAGCGTTTGTTGTTCCATATATATATGTATATAAATAGATATACACCACCGTTCTCTTAAGTATATAATATAGTATGAGGTTCCTTTAGAAACAGCAGTGTGAGACTCAGTTGCAAGAAGGAGGACTTTTCTGGACAGGGGGAGCCGTTAACCACATGAATAGAAACAATCAGTAAAACCCAAGAAAAATCTAATTAAATGAAATAAATATACACCTTAAATGGCATGCACCTCAGTAGATAAGATCAGGCTGAAAATGGGACTTTTTAAAAACAAAAATTATGACAAATAGAGCCAAATGTGCAGTAAGGGTTAAAAAAGAATGGAAAGTTTTTTTCTCGATAATTTAGAGATCTGTGTAAAATACTCACAAACTGTTTGGCCCTTGAGGAACTGCCCCTCTCAGGGGAGTTCGGTTTAAGTGCTGTTGGAGTCCATGCAAACCCGCGCATTAAATGCCAATTACATTTTTTTCTCTACATATATTTTCTTCTTTATGAGCACAAATCCATGCTTTACATGCATTACATGAAAGAAGCTGGCCGTCGGTTTTTCGTTGGTTTTTCTTCAAGGAGGGGACGCAGCGTGAGTCGGTCCGACTCGTCTTCACAGCGGGTCAAGTGAGCAGCTAGCCGGCCTTTTATCGTTCATAACAAGTGCTTTACTGTCAACACCGGGGCTTCGATCCTGTTTTAACTATCAGATCTGTGCATTGTCCTTCGCTGGGTCCTAATTGATGCGCACAACAACCTTTTAGACACTTCAAATGCTCGGCATTGTCAAAGTGTTGGACGCATTTCATGCATGATGACCTCTGGCACCATCTCGCTCCAGGAGTTTTTTTTTTCATTGGCCGTGCATAAAATAACCGTCAAGTCAAGGGAGCTACAAAGCTTTAACCAATAACCACAGTGGGGGGAAATACGATTGTATGCAACAGGCAGTCAGTGATTCTAATTTTAATTAGACTGTGATTAATTCATAACTTAGTGTGGATTTTAGCATCTGTGGCTTTAAGAGGAATTTCTCGCTATTCTCAACATTATATAATCGTCCAACCCCAAAATCAGCCCAGGAAGTGGTGCATGCCATTTTTTTTTTTTTTAGAGAATAATCCAAAATAAAATAAAATAAAACAAAAAAAAAACAAATCAAATAAATAAAATGTACAATACATTTCAAAAGGAGTGAATCATCATCATTTCATCTGAGTTACAATTCTCATGTTAGATCTCACAGACTGGGTGAGCACCAGGCAGTGTTGGGAGCGAAGAGCAACGTTTAGCGGCGAGGGGAAGGAAAACAACGAGACGACACCACACGAAACTCAACTTGTTCAAGCTGTCAACCTTTTTTTTTTCCTTTTTTTTTTTTTTGTCTTTAAATCGTGGAGGTAATTGAGAGGAAAAAAAAGAGTAGTTTGGGTCCAAGCTGCACCTTTCTGAAAGTCTTCACACACTAAAGCTTTTTTTTTTTTTTTTTAAATTCCATCTCTCGTCGCTCCGAATCCCCCCCGACCCCCAGAGAAGAGCTACACTACAGGCAGAACCTCAAACTTTCTGTCTCTCTTGTTTTTTTTTTTTTCTTTTTTTTTGAAAAGTGCTATTTTAGAAGTTTAGCGCCATAAGTTAATTCCACAACGTCGGTGTTTTTTCTGGTCTCTTCCATGATTCGTTAAGCAGGTCTATCTGCCGTTTGGATCGTGCGGCCGTCCCACGGACGAAGCGTCGGTGGGCGGCGTGGCTGTCCTCCGCTCTGTCTACTAATAGGTCCAACAGGAAATTACCGTTTGTCTAAACCCACGTCGTCTGTCTCAGTTACCCTGAGTTAATGAGGAGAAGAAGAAGAAAAATAAAGAAAAACACCCCGGATCATGGATTGGCTTTTACATAGTCAGTCATAATAACTTATAATATATTAAAATCTGCCTTTCCCTAACCTACCAACTACCCCGCCCCACTGCATATTACCCACCCGCCACCCGAAAAATTAACACCCCGCTATAAATGCACATCGTTGTAGTAAACTGCCTTTAAAACTGTCTTCGAAGTTTGAGGGAGAAGAATATCATCGTTTAAACACCTAAGCTGCTTCTGCTTGGCTTGATTAGGAAAAGAAAAGGAAAAGAAGAACAACTCATTAGCAATATGTTGTTAGCTAAGACGAGCTAAAATCCGTTAGCTCGGGCTAGCTAAAGCCGTCATCGGGGCTAAGTGATGAACTGGATAGCAGCACAGTTTCACAGTCTGATCCTAAAAGGCCTCCCTCCATCCGGCAAAGATCGTCATGAGGGGATGAGCTCACTTTGGTCGCCGTTCGGAGGGCAAATTGCAGGTGGCTCCGGCTTTCCAGGATCAGCAGTGAGAGAATGATGGAGGTCCACGAGGTAGCATCCCGCCTTAAAAAAACCAGCTGATTCATAATCAGATTACCCCTCAGCTTGTCCCTTGGCAAAAAAGAGAGTCAAAGAGCCTCCTGCATCTGAATATGAATCAGCGTGCACAGGCGACGCGCACCTCTGACCCGTTGCAAGGTTGGGCTTCAGTGACAGACCATAATAAGTGCATGATGCATGGGCAACAATGCCGAGGTAACCTGGTCTGCAAGCGCCAGACCCAAAGTGTAGTGCAAAAGAAAGCAAAACAAATCAAAACGAAAAGAGAGAGGAAAAGAAGTCGATTATAGAAGTCAGTAGTGTTCACGAAACTCACAAACATGCATCCCTGAATGACTTTTGTGTGTCTTTTCTCGTTCAAAAAAAGGACGGGTTAATGTTGCTTTCGTCCGCACAGAGATTAGCAGAGTAGTTTTTTTTTTTAAGGAGGAAAGAAAAGGTTTGCAGTTAAAGCGTCATGGCTACCTGGCAATAAGAGAATGGGTTTGATTCAGAACCCTGGTGAGGAATATCAATGGTATGATTAAACCGTACAGTTGGCTTCGAATGTAATAGACAGTTCACTTACCAATTTTCAGCTAGTACTCCGTGAAAGAGGGGAGTGGTAAAGGGATTAATTTGTCAGTTTGTTTTTAGGGAGTTAATTTTTCAACCTTCCCCTCGTTTCTGGGTTTTTTTTTTTCCCCTCCCAAAAATCGGAATCATCCAAAGCCCAAACTGCGTTTATAAGCAGCAACGCTTCTTGGGTATCGAGTTCAGAAAAAGAGGGGAGATTGGGTTTTTGGGCTGGGGATTATCAGCATGCTTAAGGAAATTTCATTAATTGTCATTTAACTCATGTCTTTAGCCGCATTTGTTAAGCCCCTGGATAGAAAAGCTGAACAAATGCTCGCACGGCGTCGCTCAAGTGACGCCCGTTAAAAACCGTCCGATTGGTTGTTTCTCTCCAGTTTGTTTTAAGAATCCTCCTCATATTATCCCTGCGTTTGTGCTCACCCAGATACTGCAAAGTAAATTGGCACAAATAAAGCCCCATCCATTTTCAAATTACTTAAGTCATTTGACTGAGGTGTACATGTGTAAGTCGTTTAGTCGATTGGTTTGAAATTGTCATCAATCTCTTCTTTTACATTGTCCTGGAGCTCAGCGGCTGCTAGCGGCGGGCCGTCGTCTCGTGGAGTTGCAGTGGGCGTGTTCTCCGACTCGGTGGGAAAATCCTGACCTCCTGCTTCCATCTTCATCATCAGCTTGAGCTTCTTCTTTGGGGGGTTCTTCAGGGTTCCCATGCGCTCCTTGACCTTGTACTCCAGGGTGCTGTGTGGGATCCCATACATGTTCTGTGCCTTGGACACGCTCATCTTCCCGCTCATCACCACAGCTATGGCCTCCTCCAGGATCTCGCTGTTGTACTGGCGGTAACGGCCCCTCTTCTTCCTCGGTTGCTTGGAGTTCGGGTCCCCTTCCACGTCGGAGATGGAGTACGCTGGCCCGGAGCTGGAGTGGTCCAAGTCGGCGCTCCAGTAGTCGGCTGCCCCGTCCAGAAGGCTTCCGAGGCTCCCCCCTCGGCGGTTCTGCTTGGGCAGGATGGCTCTCAGCTTCCGGCTCAGGGTGTTCTCCCCGTGGCCACCGCCCCCAACCCCCATGGCCCCGTAGCCATACAGCTCAGAGGCATGGGAATCCCAGGAAAGATCCATGCCCCGGACCTGGGGGATCTTGAGGTCGACGGGAGGCGAGTGGCCCTGGTCTCTCTTGCCGTCGTTGTGGTGATGTTGGGCCTTCGAGACCTGATTGTGATGGTGGAGGGAACTCTTGTAGGAGAAGGCTCCGTGGTGGTTGTGGTGGTGATTCTCCAGGAATGTTGGCAGGTCTTTGAGGTCGCTCAGAGCTCCACTGGCCTGCTTTAGCTTCATCAGGCTTTCGAGGTGGGCCTTGCTTCCCCAGAAAGAGGAAGAGCCCTTCTGGCCGAGCAAGGAGTGGGACTGCCCGTGATTGAGCAAGCCAGCTGACTCGAGATTAGCCAATGAGAGAGCAGCGGGCTGGCTCAAGAGGCGGTGCTTCTGGCTGAGGAGCTCCTCCTTGATACGCAGCGAGCGGGCCAGTGGGGGCTTGAAGGAGTTGGAGTAGTTCTCCCTCAGTCCGTCCTGCAAGCTTCTCTGCAGCAGGCCGTCGTCCTCCTCCACCTCCGACAGCGCGTGTTCGGCTTTGAGGGAACGCCTGGGTGGAGAGGAACAAGAAGAACATTTAGAATCGGATCTCTGAGAGCATTTTCTGAATTGAGATTGTGTTGCTCGGAGGTACATCATTAATCACTGGACTGTTTAATTTCTCTAGACGAGGGAGAAAAAGTTGCCACGTCATTAGTCTTAGCGATGAAAAATAATAGAAAACAGAACCACAAGTACATTTCTGAAACAGTCTCAGAAAAACCACGGCTTCTGGAAGGACCTTCAGCCGTCGTCTAAAATGCAAAACTAATCGACTCCGGTCCGTTTTTTCCTGTACCCGGCTAAACCTCTGCAAACGAACGGACACAACGCGCCCGGTACGACTCGCAGCAAATAAGAGAACACGGCAGTTTGCATGAATCGATGTTTTCCAACATATTCACGGAGTAAACAAAGCTCTGAATTCCCACGCAGACATGCTCAGTGAAGCACATCTCAGAAGCACCTCAGCTTCTGTAACCTTAGTTTCACAAACAGCTCTTTGTTATCGGCCGACTCTGTAGTTACAGAGGAAACAAAGGCACTGCGCTTTACATTTTTAATCTCATAATTAAATACTATTAATCTCACTTAAAGAGCCCCTCCAGTGAATAATAAACCATGAACAATCCCAGTAACTAACTCTACAACACTGGAGTCTCGCTGCAGCTCCTTAAGCTCATATTTGGACTCTAGAAAAAGCCACAAAAAAAAGATGCTGTGATAATATCATGACAGCACTGGTCCCAACAATTAAATGTATTTTATCTTTTACTTTTCAATTCGTAAGGTAAATATTGCGTTAGCCACAACAAACCTCGTTATTGGTTGCCTTGAAATTCCATATGGTGCATGACTATTTAGGACCCTTTAGAAATCATTCTTTACGTCTTAATTAAAACATTTCTTGGGACCAAAATCAATCAAAGAAGATTCCTGACACTGTGGCAAAAGTAACGTGTGCTATTCACCTGCTGAGCTCCTCTGGCAGCACATAGAAAACATGTTAATTTATCTTTTTGTTTCCCCCAAAGCCAGCGTCTGTTTACCCAGCAGGGCGTCCAGATAAATGTAATTTATTTATTGATTTTTGACATTTTTTTTTAGTGCGCCATGTTGGATAAATGAAGCGGTGCTGAAGCAAAATAAGAGGAAGCTCATCTCAGCGGGCCTGCAAACATGACGAGTGCTTCAAATTTCTGAAAAGCATGTCTGGTGCTGAAACATACGTTTACATGTCAAGTGCCTCCACTCGTGCTGCCGCAGCCGATATACCTTCTGCTAAGTAACTATAGCAACAGAGGTAAGGCTCTTTAAAAAAAACACTCCTATAGGTTCACAATTACAGGAAGCGGCTTGTCAAGTCGGCGGAGGGAACATGGAAGAAGAAGCTGAAGGGAAACATGGTACCTCGGCGGTGTAACGTGTTCGGCTGAGCTACAGGGCGAGCGACTGCGCGATGTGGGGAGTCCCCAGTAGGAGCTTTAAGACAGATTATCACAGTGGGCTGTCTGGAGCCGGCTGAAAACAATACAGGGTTAACGAGAGGCTTTGGAGTCGACACTCTAATGGAGCGTTCTGTTACAGTAAGCATGCAGCCATCGGGGAGGCGGCTGCAGACAGCAACGGCGGATCTGAAGGGCTTCGCTATTGAAAATAGAAAGAGCAAAGAAATATACATGACAGACGGGGATCCCCCAATGAGACGGGCTAAAAGATTGTTCGAGCATCTGGTTGTTTGATCCGAGTTCCCCGAGCAGCAGCGTGAGCGTTCTGCGCTCAGACGCTTTTCAAAGGAGTGCTGCAGGAACTCTGAGTTTTTGTGTCGGAGCATTTAATTTTGACGGCAGGTTTGGTGACGACTGTGTTCTTGTTATTTAGGGAACATCTTTGGAAACGACATTTAGACCAGTGGGTCCCATGATCATGTCAGGGGGTCGGCAGATCATTGTTAAAAAATAAAATAAAATAATAATAATAATAAAGCCTACATTTATCAAATAAATGTGTATCAGGGCTGTCAGAATTAAAAGCGTATACGTCTTCCCACTCCTTGTTTGAACTTGTTAATATTCTTTGATTTTGTGCTATTATTATTATTATTATTCTTTTTTGGTCTTATTAAAATGATTTTCCTTTGTTTTTAGATTCTTTTTTCTCTTTCATTTGTTCGAAATAAATTTAATTCATTCAAAAGAAAATTAACGTTTTAATTTAGAGATTAATCAGTGGAATTAACACACTCATTTTTAACGCATTAATGCATCAACAACAGGTTATTACTCATGATATAATAGAAATTCTAATTGGGGGGTCACGAACACAAACTTATGTTAGTTTGAGAACCACTGGTTTAGAGCATCACTTCAAACCAGAAGGTGTTGTTCTCATACAGCTGCAGCTCTTTTATTTATCGCGGCCAACTGCCGACAGAAACAGCAATTAAATAATATAATTAAAAGCAATATTTATGTTTAAAGACACAGGATAATATTAAAGGAAAGCACAAATGTGTAGTTCTTTCTGAGGTTCTTCATACAGACCTGGTCAGAAACATGTTTAAATTAAAGGCCGCTAACCTGTAAAGCACAGACTAAGCTGCCGTGTGCTTCGGGGATTGTCTGCTTGATGAATGGGTGTTAGTGGGGGTGGAACTGCAGGCTCCTACTGTAGTTAATATTACATGACCTGATCAGTAGAACCCTCACTGGGAGTGGGGCTCGCTCGGGGCCTTAGGGCCTCGGGGCTTTGGGGCCTTGGCAAGGAGACTGAGTCCCATCCTGAGGGGCTTAAGGTGCTGCTTCTAATTCTGCCTTCAGTCCTGTTGTGGAAATGCTGGAGCGAGGTTCAGCCGCTGGGCCCCGGCCTGCAGAGTGCATCATCACACGATGCTGCGTTAGAGTGAAAAACAACATTGTTCGCTCAGGCCTCGTCCAGGGTGTCTCACAAAACGAAGATAAGTTTCTACCATTCGTCCTGTCGTCCGCACGAAAACGTAGATTTACGGCGTTAAAAACGATTCTTTCAAAAACCTCCGACCAAAGTGAAGACCTGCCAATCCTCCGCTTATGCGTCTGTATCAGTAACCGGGTTTTAGGTTTCCAAATGCCTGCGACAAAATCTGTTCTTTACATCACGACCTGTGTTGGAAACAGCATGGACGCCCTCAGAACCGTGTCGTCTCTGGTCCGGGCCCAGATAGCGCTCCACGTACAGGAACACAGGACGACGTTATGGACGGTTATGTTCCGACACCTCGCCGTTCCACGTCCGAGGCAGGTTCTCCGTCAGAGACACCGACGCTGGTTTTGGGTCACTGCCAGAACTTTGAGGAACGGCGTGACGATTTCCGAACGTCCCGGTCATCGCTCCTGTCGTCAGAGTTCTTACATCCTCACGTAGAAGATGAACGACGCACTGATGCGGTTCGGTGTGGATAAATTCTTTTCTAAAAACGAGGTGGTGTGTACGTTAGCTTTTTCTAGATGGAGGGGGAAGGAGTTTACAAAAACCCTACTACGTGTGGACGAGGCCTCAGTTTCTTACTTTGAGCCAGAATTTCTAAACCAGATTCCAACAACAAGGTCCAAGACAGACGGTTTGTAAGGAAGCCGTTAAGCCGGAGCGCTGGGAGCAAACTCAGGCATCTTGAATGTGGATAATAGTTTCTCACTGCACAGGAAAACTGTGTGTAGGTAGAAAGCTGGACTAATAACTGATCTTTAAAATAGGCCCAAACAATAAAAGTAGGACCCAAAGCGCAATAAACAAGAAATATCCTTCAAAGCCGCGGAGTAAATGCCAGATCCACGACTGAACGTCTGCAGCTACTGTTGCTCTTTTGATAACTTCTTTTTCTGGTTGTTTCGGTCCAAAGCGGCTGTTTGTAAATGCTGCCTTTGTTCGGTAGCTTTGTATCCAGGCAGCATTAGCTTTCACCAAGAAGACCGCGGCCCTTTGAGACTCCCGCGAACTCTAATGTCAGCGCCAAATCTCCGGTCAGAAGCAGTCGGAGGTGTATTCACGGCTGGATCAAAGAGACGCCGCTGACACGGTGGGTGAAGGTTTCTGTGCCCACGTATGCTCCGAGAATCAAACCTCTCCCAATCCATATCTGACCTACAGATCAAAAGCATTCCTGAAAATGGCAGCCGCAATTAGCGTCGATTGTTTATTCCCCCTTGATGTGCGGAGCGAGTATGACGGCTACTGATTCAAACATGACTTCAAGGCAGAGTGTGTTCATCAATAAATTAACGGGATGCAATGCGGAGGCTCGTCAATAGAAGCTCCGACGCAGATCGGCTTTCTGAAGAAGACAAAGCAGCCGAAGCCTCCGTCGTCTCACTGTGGGGCAGATGAGGGTTATAAATACCTGTATACAAACATGTGTGTAACCTCGCCGTGAGACTCGTGGTAGCTCGGGTATCGATCAGCAGAGCGAAACCAATAATTCAGATATGAATGGTGGGAGGCGTCGGCAGCGCTCGCTCAAGGACGACCATGAGAGCGTGAGGATGGGCACGGCCCCTTCAGGACCCGCAGACCTTTGCATCGCTTCGGTCTATTCGCTCCAGCTGCACTAAATATAGTGGTGGAGGTGCACACGCTGCCTCCATCGGCGGCGTTATATCACCGACTGTTTCCACGCAGCTGTGATTAAACCCACGTGAAGCTTATAAAGGTTCAAAATATTAAACAATAGCGGTTAAATATTGACACTGGCAGAGAATCAAACGCCATTAATATGAAACACAAAGAGATTAATCGTACTAATATCTGGAACGCGGCTTATCTGGCATCTAGATACAGCTGCAGTACGTGAACCAGCCCTGAATAGCTGAAAACTAAACGCCATTAGCAAATCACAAAGGCTGCAATTTAGGATCTGTGTTATGCAGCACGTCTGACCCACGGTTCAACCTGTTCAGTCCTCCTTGTGTGACAGGAACACTTTTGGCAGCATCTCCATGTGGTAACACTCCGTCCTGTTTTAAATCTATTCCACAGTGGAGCTGACTTTAAACACGTCTATCAAAAATCAAGGAGTACAATTTGCCACGAAAAATCGCAATTACAGTCGTGACTCGATAATCCGACACTAAATGTATGTCGGATATCAAGGCTGTCGGATTGTCAAGACGGAGGTCCAGATAC